TATTTTGGATTTTAAATATTTGTACGGAAAAATATTTGTATGCAGTTTAGTCAAAAAGGAGGAAGTTGTATTTTAATTTGTATTGTGAGAGAAATAAATAATGGCATCACAGTAGTGTCACTGTGCTGCATTGGACAGAAGCTTTCACACGTGTAAAGCGAGCTCTGTGTCAGTCATTGACATGAAAAAAATGAATGGAGAATAAGGAGGACACAGTGAACCAAATATTACACAAATGTAAAGGAAAAATGCTGCAAAGAAGAAAAATAAAGAACAGCAAAGTGCAAAATCATTGCGAACACATGCAAAGAAAAAAGCTACAAATAACAAAAACAACTGGATTTTTACTCAAGCTTCATGTATGTGCTTTAGACCATCAAGGAGAGACAATCACAAACTTTAACGGGACCAGACCATAGATAACGTGTACCAGATTTGTTACAGAAGGAATTTGGAGGAATTGAAAAAATGGTAAGATGTCCTTTAAATCTTTTTTTTAATTATTTTTTATAAACACTTAATCTCTTCAATTATCAAGTTTTTGCAGCTCTTTTTGAAATTTCTGCACATTTATGTTTTTGCAGGACATTTGGACCCATCAGCAACCATAGTAAAAACTCAGAAGTGTGAAGGACTTTATAATAATATAAATAAAATCATGAATAATAAAGAAAGATTCAATTTTTTCAAAAATATTTAATGTTTCCTTTTTTCAAATGTTGTTTTCTTTTTTGTTTAGTTTTTTTCTTACAGATTTTACATTTTTGAATTCTTTAGTTTTCATGACAGTTTGTCTTGACACTTGCAAAAGAATAGTTAGAAAAATAACAAAGTTACTGTGAAAACCTTTTTTTATTATGACATTTTATCACTTTCTTTGCTGGATTGCATTTTTTTTTTTTACATTTCCAATTACAAAATGTGTTTGTTTTAAAATTTCCTCGCGTCTTTATCAGTTTTAATTGTCTCGACAGTTTTCTTTTATTGATTTTTATTAATTTTGATACTTTTTAGTTGTGTGCTTTTCTGTCTGTGTGGTTGAATCTCTTCCACACATTCCAGACTCAATACAATAAAATAAAATAACAGGATTAGGCATGACTATAAGGGGAAGAGAGAAATATAAACAATAAAAAACACAAACCTGACATTCATTTTTTTGTTCTATGCTGATTTAATCGGGAAAATGAAGGTAGTAATGATGAAGTATGGAAAGTCGTTACCACATTCAAATTAGAAAATGTAGAAGCTGTAATTTTGAATTAACTAAAATTTCTGACTCTGAATCTCACAGTTTTAGGTTGTTTTTTTTTTATCTTAAAGATAAGGATATACGAGTTTTGCAAAAATGTGTTTTCAGAGTATAGCTTCAATTTAATTTGAAAATACTCTGTTAATCTCAAAGGGAAATTAAATGTCGCAAAAACTTATGAGCAGTTTTTAACCAGTGGCTATAGGTTATGATAGCTGTAGACGGGAAGAATCTTCTGTAAATGTCCTTCTTGGATCTGGAGAAGCTTCTTACTGAAGACACTCGTTGTTTAACAGTCTGATGAAGAGACTGTTGTCCATAATGTTCCTCACTTTATGAAAAATTATTTGTTGTGAAATAATCTCCAGAGGTTCTAGAGGAATTCCTAGAACAGAGTTGGCCTTTTTTTATGAGTTTGTTGAGCTTCTGCTGTTGCCAGAAGATGACTGATGGCAGAAGAGATGACATTGATCGATTGATCTGTTAATCTTTTTTTTTTTTTTAGATTAATCAATTAATAATCAGATAGCAAAAGGTTCCTTGAAGTTTTTTTTTTACAGAATTAAATCTGGGAAAACTTAAAATTTTCCACTTGAGATGAACATTTTTTTAATCATAAATGCAAAACATTTATATATTATTTTACAATTTTGGTATAATGGCTGCTCTAAGGCATGTTTTAGATTCCCTATATTTCAGTTAACGATAATCAATTACTAAACTGGTTAATAATCCGATCAATTCTTTCAGCCCTAGATTGCACTCTCCACAAAAGACTGATATGCAGCATCTTGCTGCAAACAGTGAATGAAATAAGCCTGCTTAGAAAGTACAGTCTGATCTGTCCATTCTTGTAGACAGCTTTAGTAGAAAGAGCATAATTACTGGTTTAGAACCTTTAAAACTGTTTACATGGGTCTGTGCTTGTTGCTGTACAGTGACCCCTTGTGGTGATGACTGGAAATGCAGTTTCAACCTGTTCTTCCTCTCTAGTCAGGTTTTACAGAGCTTGTGATGTAGAGTTTCTCTTACAACAACTCTCCATTCTAATACGAAATAAATCTGCCTCTAAATCAGCTTTAATTCTGTTAAAAAAGTATCAAAGGGTCTGAGTCAGTGGGTCTGAAATTAGGGGCGGAGTTATGTCCAAACCAGCAGTACCTAAACATGTTTTTTTCCCTCCCCTTCTGGAAGTCACATGGGGCTCTATCTGGTCTTCCGTGACTCATTTTGACAAATAACTGGGGGGACAAGGCGTGACGGAGTGTGTGTGTTTTCATTCGGCAGCATCCAGCTGTCTGGAGGTAACTCTGCCCTTTGCTGGTAGCTGCTTCCCTCCACCGGCCTGCGGTCTCCTTCTGCCCGCTGGAACGTCACCGCAGCGCGGCCGAGCGGCGCGCTTCACCCGGCATCAGCGGCGGAGCCCCGAAATAAGGAGTTTACAAAGCCGGAAGTGGACAAACCTCAGCGGTGAGCCTTTTATGTTTCATTAAAACATCTCGGGACGCAAACATCCGGAATGTTGCTCTCTGACTGAAGCTTTGTTTCAGCAGACATTATTTCATCCGTAGAGAAGCGACAACTTCCTGACCTTCACTTCTGGAGCGTCAGAAAGACGTCAAGTGTTTGATTGCATTACATTCACCATCTTCAAAGACGCAAACTTTTTTTTTTTTTTTTTTTTTTTTTTATGCCGCAGCTGCTCCACCCTCGCGTGACGAAAGAGATGTTTTATTTTGGAAAGTTAAAGTGGGGTACAGGGGCCTCCAGGGGGCCTTTGGATGGATGCATTCTGCATCATAAATTCAGTGCGTCATTGAGGGCCTCCTGCAAAGCATGCAACCAGCATCATCAACACTACAGGGAAGGAAACTAAAAAAGGTCCCTGCGTATTACTTCCCCTTTTGAACCTATTTTTTCTAAGGTCGTAAAAAGGCTGAGAGGCAACAACAATGCAGAGGCGTAGCCAGAATCTTTTTATAAGGGTGGCCAGGCAATAACCAATGTACACTAAGGGGGGATAAGCACTAGAACCTCGGGGTCAATCTAAGGCTACGTTCACACTGCAGCCTGAAGTGACCCAAATCCTATTTTTTTTTGGCCCATATGCACCCTGGATCTGTATGAGGCTCTGTTTGTATCAAAAATAAGCAGATGTAAAATGTCTAGATGTTGTTGCATATGTGTTGTCTGCATATGTATAAGTTGCACATGTATTTGTTGCATATGCAGATGTTGCCTCACTGTAATCTTGCCAGACTACATGTCTGAAACATCCGTTATTACGAAGCTAGTGCCGGAAAAATAGTTTGGTTGGTTGAGCTGCGATTGAAAAACCAGGTGATTCAGACACTAGATAAAAAATAAAGCACTCTGAATCCTGCCAATGTGAACACACATTTATTCACAGGACAGAGGCGGGGTCCCTTGGGTTTATTTTAAAGTTTTAAGCCTATAAATGTACCTACCCCCCCAAATATTATACCGACGCTATTTGATCCTACGCCACCTCCTTCCTCCTTTGCTGTCCTAATTAATACCTGAAGTAAATACTAGAGCCGCCGAAATGTAAACATTTTGTAACTATTGATAATGAAAAGATAATCTTTCAGTAATTTCTAATGAAAAAAACTCTACTTCCATTGTTTGTAATGGCGAGGGGAACAGGCATCAAAGACCAACGACAAGAAGCAACAACATTGCCCAAGACAAGAACTAACAGCTTAGAGCAAAGGCACTAACCAATCACGGATGTTTCAGACATGCAGACTGGCAAGATACAGTGAGGCAACTCTGCATATGCAACATAGACATGCACAATCTACATATGCAACATAGACATGCAGAATCTACTTATGCAACATAGATATGTGCAACATCTACATATACAACATAGACATGCAGAATCTACATATGCAAGAAATACATGTGCAACTTATACATATGCAGACAACACATATGCAACAACAGCAAAACATCTAGATATTTTACATCTGCTTCTCAAATGCGACATGGGTCTGAATAGCCTGGCCGCATTCATCTTACCTGAACGCCATTAATACCCAACAAAGGTCACTATTCTGGGTCTTGCAAGAAAAACAGCAACCCTAGTGGATGATGATGCGGAGAGCAGTATTTATGTTTAACCACTGAAAAGATGGTGTTTTTATGGTTGGGAAAGATCGCTAGATCCGCTCCGGCACTACCATCCATGTTCACTGAGCATGCTTGCTTGTGACGTTATTGCGTCCTCTACTGTGCATGCGGGATACTTGCGTTGTATGGCTGCAGTTCACTCAGGGGATCACATACAAGTCGCATATATTTAAATGTGAACGGCAAAGCAAAAAAAAATCGGAATTGAGCATCAAGGCCAGCAGTGTGAATGTAGCCTACACTGTTCCAACAGGAAAATTAATGAGTAAAACTTCTATATTTTCAAAATAAAGAGAAACTATACTTTCCTACAGCCTTTGCTAGCAAATAGATGCATATATTTAAACATCCGTAATTTCTAGATAAAAGGTATAGTGGATAAAACTCAGCTTTGAGTTCAGGGCGTAAATCAATCATCGTCGTCTTTATTTACCTACTTGTATCGATAAACGTGCTGCATAAAATTCATATTTACAAGCACTGATATCTAAATTGGTTATTTGATAAGTTTTTATTAAAATTACTGTATTACTGCTGCCACCATCTGTATTAGAGGGGGAAAAAATGGTAGGAGCGGCCAATGATTGGGTTAAAACAAACGTGTATTTATGTTGCAGGTGTTAAACTATGGAAATCTCTGATGTTTTAAAAAAACAACAACTAAAACTTGGCTTTATGCACTGGAAGGTGCAAGACGTTGATGATTTATACTTGTATTTTGTGTTCATTCTCTTTTCTTCTATGTTAGTGATTCAGTCTGACTCTGTTTGTACTTTGTTGGTGCCTAATAGAAATATTTGTACATTTCATTTGTGGTGTGTAATGATAAAATGATGTAAACCATAATAGAAAATACATATTTGAAAAATAATACATGCACAGAACGTTTACAGTAGTGAAGTTTATAATTAAATCTTTAATCCAATTAGACAGGTCCAAAATACATACACAAAATACATTGTGAGGCCTAATCTTTAACAAAGGATTCTGCACCAATACGATTCGTATGTTGAGCCTAAGCCTTAGCTGATGGTAGAAGCTCCAGGAATTTAGCCAAACAAAAAGCAAAATGACAGTAAATGAACATCGGTCAGACTTTTCAGAGTTGGTGCTAAATTTTGGAAGGAAAGGAGTTTGCAGATTTTTTTATAAACTGCTAATTTAAATGTTTGGTTTGGCTAGCATTGGTATTATTAGTAGACCTGACAACGGTACAGAATGAAGGTGAGGTGCGCCTCTTAGTGAATCGTAAATCTCGTGAATCTTCTGAATAGACCCGCCCTCTCCATTTGAAAAAATAAGATAAAATGCACATGTACAACCCTGTACCCCCTCCCTAGAGGGAACGCTTATTAAACCCATGCAAGAGCGTGCACGGTCACATTTCTCCTCGTGCACACTCTGTTTAACAGTGTTTAGGTTCATCTGTGCTCTTTTCTCTTCAGCTTAGCCAACAGTTTGTTGGTTTTAAAAATGTTTTAGATCTAGAAACTGAACTGACATTTAAAGTGATATATATTTTGGATCCTTCTCCTTCAGAAACGACACAAAACTTTCAAGTTTCACTGACGGCCTTGTGTTTCAGTGAGTGTCTCTCTCTTTGAAGAAGCTTTCCGGGATGTTTTGTTAGATGTAATCTCACACAGTCCTCATTGGTTTATGACTGAACTCACCTGGAGTGTTTGGAAAGCTTTATCTTTGTCCTAACTGAAGAAAAATGATGGGTCAATTTAAAGTCCAGTAGAGTTTAGCAGGTTAGTCGTCTAGCAGTAAACTTTAGGAAGGTTTTACTTGCTCTCTGTGAGGTTGAGTGCCAACACTCAAGACCTTCAAGGTCGTTCTTATACAGTATAGAGGCCAATCAGATTTCTAAAAATTTGAACTCCTGTTTTATCTAGTTTGAAAAGCAGCTTTTTCCTCATACCTGCTTTGAAAGAAAATATATTGCCTCAGTTATTCCAAAAATTGAGCAAGGAAAAAAAAGTTCTTGAACTTGATTTTAACAGAAAGGAGAAGATGTCGTCATCTCCAAGATCAGACATGCTTTGCTGTGTCCAACGTCATGTGATTCCTTTGGCTGAACAGCTCATTGAGCCTTTTTACCTGCTCCGCTGATCAAAAGCAGAAACATCGGCAGGCGTTGGAGGACAGCCGAGGGATGCCGTGCCGCTCAGATGACCTTTCTTTGCTTTAAAACCCATGTGAAAACGAACAAGCTGCTGCGAATCAGATGACTGTGAATACCAACCCCTAAGTGTGAGCAGGAGTCTTTATTAAGAAGTGTGACATGAAAAGTTTGACTCACAAGTTCTCCTTTGGGGCCTCTCAGAAAAGCACTTACTGTCCTTGGCAATAATTTATGAAATATTTAAGTAACTAAGCAGAGTATAGTGAGGTATGACTAGAATGAGCTGTACTTCTCAAACAGGAAACCAACGATAAGGTATCTGTTTTAGTTGAATTTACTGACTTACAAGCTCTTTAATGCCTTTGTTTTATTACATGGCGAGTATTGAATTATGAGTTTATTGTTATGTTAGTTTATCACCAGGTGTTATAAACTATGAAGATTTATCTGTGGATTTTCTTGGCTCTGTGAAATCTGGGCCATGTTTTCCCAAATTAGACCAGACTTCATGTTGTTAATGAATCAATAAATCTAGATTTGATTGATCTAATCGTTCACCCAATAATTAACTGATAAGCGGCCATTTTTCTCTTGTATCAGGATGATCTTTCCACACAAAGGAGCCAATATGTTTTACAGCAACCCCGTTTTAAGAAAAGTACTTTATATGTTGACAATTTATTGGGCCTGAATATTGATTGAATAAGCAAAGGTGTTTTCTTGCACATTATCAACCTTTTTACAAGGTATAACAAAACAGGAACCTATTGAGACACTAACTTCAGTAGTTTATTTATAAAGCACCAATTCACAACACATGTCACTCCAAGGCACTTTACAGAGACAATTCAACCAGATCATCCGGTCAGATTGATTTAAAGTTTTCTATCTTAAAAAAACAGCTGATTGCATCGACTCATTGACTTAAAGGCAATCCCTCACACTAAGGATGCTTGTAGCGACAGTAGAGAGGAAAAACTCCAGTTTAACAGGAAGAAACCTCCAGCAGAACCAGACTCAGTGTGAGCGGCCATCTGCCTAGGCTGACTGGGGTTCAAGGAGACAGAAGCAGACACACAAAAGGAACATAGCAGTGATGATCTATGAAAAATTTTCTGTTAGAAAAGGTAATAGTATAGAAATAAGTAAAGAGGATTAAAAATGATGAATAAGATGTATGACACACTTATGATTTCCTGTATAGAGAGATGTAAAGACTGGGTTGAGTATTAGGATGGGTGTTGCGATACGCTACGTGTGACGATACTTGGGTCACAATACGACGTTATCACGTTACTGATATATATTGCAATATTTTTCCCAGCTATCAAATTAAACGTATAGATAAAAGTATATTTTTATCCGAAGATAGTGATCATTTATCTATTTTGGTATCCCTGTTGTTTGGGGTTTGAGTCCCCTGTGACTGCTTGAACCTGTGGAGTTTATTAAGTGTATATATTCACAAATATAACCATAGAGAGTTCAATCTGCATCCTTGTCTCCATTTAACAGTGTTAATATTTTCAGACTGGACTCTGGATCCATTAATGTTTCTGCTCTAGCACGTCTCCACTCAGGCTTTAATTCTATTGCAAATACCAGTGAGGCTCTACTTAAGAATGAACAGCGGCGCCCTCTAGAGGACAGCGGTACCTTACACCTAGGGCTGCAACTGCATATTTTGCTATTTGATTAATCTGTTCATTATTTTTTCGATTAATGAATTAATAATCGGATAGCCAAAGAAGAAGACTTTATGAGATTAAACCAGGTGAAACTAAAACTTTTCCACATTTGAAGTTCTGGATAGAGATTATTGAGAGACGATCTTCTTTTTTTATATTAAATGCCAAATGTTTATATATTTTTTCACTGGGTATAATCTGGGTATAATTGCTGCTCTAAGTGGGTCACTCTGTCAGCTAAAGGCATGTTTTAAACACTCTTTACTCCAGTTAACGATTAATCGATTACTAAATTAATCTGATTGTTTCAGCCCTACTTACAACACTGAAGGACATTCTTTCCAAGCAGACTTTATCAGTTAATTGAATGGAACACATTTATTTCTGGTAAAAATTTAATAGACATCTAATCAACCATCCATTTTCTGACACGCTTAATCCCAAGTGGGGTAGCGAGGGGTGCTGGTGCCTATCTCCAGCTGTCTACGGGCGAGAGGCGGAGGTTCACCCTGGACAGGTTGCCAGTCCGTCGCAGGGCAACACAGAGATGAACAACCATTCACACACACACAGCTGAGGAGAATTTAGAGAAGCCAGACATCTAATCATATGCCAATTATTTGTTTTAATCCCTTTCCCTTTGTTTTAAAGACTTTCCTAACTCTCATTTGAGGTCTGTGTGTTGTTGATTCTCTGTGCCATAAGGCTCTCAATGGACAGACCCATGAGTGTTTCTGACCTTCTAAATCTTTATGTTCTCTCCTGGATCTGGCCTTTGCAGATCTATGGCCTGAAGGCTCTGGCTGTTTTTATCTATGTGTCTGCCTTCCTTCTAATGTAATCTATCCTGGGATATATTGAGGATAAATCATATCCTGACACATGTTGGGCACAAAATTATTTTAAATTCACAACCCTAGTTCTAAGTCCTCTGTGTCCTCCAGCGGGAGTTATTCTCAAGTAGAAGATTCTGATCAGAAGAGATCAAAACAATCATCAATACATGTGGTTCGTATTTTTTCCTAACCTTTAACACACCATCCTTGCTGGTCAGCATAGTAGTGGCTGAACATGATGTGAAAAAGTATTTGAGCTGTAGGAATAGATAAGCTGGTCATCTGAATGACGCTAAATTTAGAGCAACCGACTAGAGGCTGGAAAATAATTTAGACAGGATAGGAGGATCCGTTCTCAGCAGGAAAATGACCCAAAACAAACAGTCAGAGCTACTCATACAATGGTTAAAGTGTCAGTATGGCCTAGTCAAAGTACAGACCGGAATGGTAGTTTTAGGATTGGTAAGAAGTTCTAAAAATCAATGTTTACTGTCGCTCTCCAACCAATCTGACTGAGCTAGAGCTGGTTTGCATTGAAGTATTTATTTATAATTATTTTTATTAATTTATTCCCTTCATAACCACACACTCTTTAGTGTTAATCAGATAAAATCTAACTAAAGTACATTGAGGCTTTTTGTTGTAACATGATCAACTTAAGAACTGTAAACTGTTTAGTTTTAGCGAGCTACGCTTCTATCGTCCGCTGATAGAAAGCAGTTTTTTCCTTTAGATGATTGGATTTCTCCTCCTCTCAATCCTGTTCTCACTCTAGTTTTGTTTTTGTTAAGCTGAATGGTTATATAAAAGTTTTGCCTTTTTTATTTAACTTATTTAGGGAATTCACAACAAACAGTTTAGACTGACTGTGATTTTTCCACAGCCTCATGCAGAGATCTCCATTACAGACTCATGTCTGTTTTCAGCTCCACCTCAGGACATCATGGTCACAGCTGATCAGTATCCACCTGACTTCCCTGCAAAGAGTTTCCTCTTTTTTTTCACAGAAATCTTTATACTATGTAACTGAACCTTACATGGACGACTAATGTAACCCTTTGGATGAAGAATTAGAACAAAGTCCTGGTGTATTTTAACTGTTCAAGTAGTTCCCCTTAAACACTTTTAAATTACAACATTTTGTACACTTTTTTGGGAGAGGTCGGCCCTCCAGGCATATGGAGACAGAGCTACAGTGGAACAGTTTTAGATCAATTCCTTTCTTTAAAAAGTCTCAAAGTAGAGACTAAAAGTTCAGTTTGTAAACATCTATTCTATCGCAAAGAAAGGGCAAAACATGTAATAAAGCTGATAGAAAATTTGCCTTTTAAGATTTGAAGTGTTGCATCAAAGTAGGTTACTGCAAGATACTGAGTGAAGGGGTCTAATTATGAATGCCAAAACATCCAGATATTTTTTAGGTAAGGGAACTGTGTAACCTTTTAGTAAAGCATTTGCTTAATTTGAGATATATCAAATGATTATTATTAGGTCAGTGTGCAGCACTTGGAGCGTATCAATGCTCTGAGCAAACCTAAAGAATTTATTAGGGATTCTGTCAAATATCAAGATACTTAGTTGGTATTGATTGGAATTTTGGCCGAATAGATTTTAAATGTAAAATATATTTATAGGCAAACATCAAATAAATGTTCTTACTTTTATAATATGACTCTTAAGCCTTCAGCCAATTGATGGTAGCGCACTGCCTGAGAACCTATTATACAGCTGTTCTGCACCAGCAGCAGCAGAAAAACAAGATCTCTTGATGTTTTCCAGAACCTTTATTAATATGAAAATTGGAATATATTGTCTTTGTTAATGTATCGTGATCCATTAGGAAAAAAATTATCGAAACACGTGTATCATGATACGTATTGTATCAACAAATCCTTACTAGTGCACTTTACCCAAAAAATGTCAGGTTAACTTAGTTTGATTTAGTAAATATACTGAAATTTTATTAATCACTAGAGAAATGAGGGAAAGTTTATACAACATTGTTACCAATATAACTTGGAAAATGTTTAAGACGGAAAAGCTTCTTGCTTGGATTTAACCTAAACTGTGGCCTCATCCAGGCTGCTTTCCCAACTCTTCTACAGTTACTGACTTTGCACTAGGGATGAAACAATTTAAGGTATTGTTGAGGAATTCTACAAATTTTTGTGAAGGCCTGCCCTCTCCACTTTAAAACAAAAAATGCACATGCAAAACCCTGCACCTGCTCCCGAGAGGGAACGCCTATTAAACACGAGCGTGCACAAGCCCATTTCTCCTCGTGCACACTCTGTTTAAAAGTTGCTGTTTGCATCGTTAATACAGGCTTACTTTCCAAAAGAAGATTTTAAATTTTTCCAATATGTCGGACTCACCACCGCTAAGTGAAGATGGGGACGAGCACGTAGGACGGCCTTACATAAACATATCACCAGGATGATTGACAATTAGAAGGACCACTTATTTTGATGATCCACCCGGACACTGTTACTGTCATGTTGTTTTCTTCCCTTGTTACCTTGTATGGATATTTTATGGTTTTCAGAATAAACTACTTATGTCAAGTTTTTAGTTTCAGTTTTGCTTAAATTGTAATTTCTGGATTCTACTTGTAAATTGCTTTTAATGAACTATTTAAACCCCACTGTCTGGTCCCTGCAGCCATGCCGAATGAACGCTCCCCTCTGATCACCTCTGGGGTGTGCGGACTGACCCTGACCACAGCATGCGGCACAGCGTCAGACTCCCCCCAGGAACCCAACGCCGGGAAACCGGCTCAGGACCCGCGGAGGCTGAACACCTTCTTTGGGGTGATGGTCCCGACCATCCTCTCCATGTTCAGCATCATATTGTTTCTGAGAACAGGTGTGTGGCACAGCTTCAAAGCATGTAGAGGAATAAAGACGACTGTTGGGTGTTTGTGAAGAGTCTGCTGAGTCACTGTGACTCACAGCGGTGTGATCTCCATTTTGCAGGGTTTGTGGTGGGTCATGCAGGGTTGCTGCAGGGTCTTTTGATGTTGGTGGTTGCCTACACCATCATATCTCTCACAGTGCTCTCAATCTGTGCCATTTCAACTAACGGAGCTATTCAGGGCGGCGGAGCTTATTGTATCCTTACCAGTTATAAACATATGTTTGTATATGTTTGTATGTATAATGTTTGAATCATTTGATTATTCCTAGATTTTTGTTTTCTCCACATTCATATCCAGATAAATCAACCTTAATTAAACTGCTGTAGATATGATCAGTCGCTCTCTGGGACCTGAGTTTGGAGGGAGCATCGGTTTGATGTTCTTTTTTGCCAAAGTATTTGCATGTGGAGAGTACGTCCTGGGTCTTGTGGAGGCCATTCTAGATGTATTTGGAGCAGATCCTGGTAGGTTGAGTCCATGCTTCGGTCGTCTCGCCCCTCAGACATCCATCTGAACTTCAGTTTGTTTGATTTCTTTCAGAGTCCTCTGTGTCTGAAGGGTGGCGGGTGCTCCCTCAGGGTTACTGGTACACCGTTCTGTACTCCTCTGTGGTCCTCCTGCTGTGTCTCCTCGTGTGCCTGGTGGGCGCCCACATTTACTCTCGCACGGCCTTCGCCATCCTGCTGGTGGTCACCGTGTCGCTGTTGTCCGTCTTCATCAGCACCGTGGCGGTGAAAGCGAAAGACTTCGTCATTGTCCACAAGGGGCCGGGTAACCAGACGCTCCGCTACAACGCCAGCTACACAGGTTTCAGCGCCACTACGTTGAGGAACAACCTGGGCTGTGAGTCAGGATTAGGAGCAATAATGATACTTCAGCTATTTTTTCCCCAGGTTTTGACTTTGTTTTGGTGTTTTTTTTTGTGCAGCTGGTTACTCTTTGGACTACAGCACCAACTCCGTCATGTCGTTTGCCACGGTGTTTGCAGTCATGTTCACCAGCTGCACCGGGATCATGGCTGGAGCCAATATGTCAGGTTACAGCTCGTCATCTTTTACTTTTCATATGTGGAAAATACAGCAAATCAAAAATGCTTTTCAAACTACATTGCGATTGTACTTTGTTTTTCCCTTATATTAACCACAAGCAGGTAGATGTTTCTTTGCTTTCATGACCTTGAAAGCTTTATTGTCCAGTCTTCTGTCCCAAGTATTCACTGTTATTGAATGGAAAAGTATTTACCTCTACACAAATGCATGATTTTATGCACTAGCTGCAACCCTCTATCCTTCTGTAAGGCGGCAGAACACTTTGAGCATATTGCCGCCATCTATAGGGCCAAAGTGAGAAAGTCATTGTCAGACTTTTTTAGAATTAGATGTTTTTTAAAGATGTTGAGACAATATAGGTCAAATATATATATAAAAAAAGGAAAGATAGATAGAAGTTAGAAGATAGCTAGAAATGATTAAAAACTACAATTCAAGAACAGTTCCAAGAGCTGTAAAGAAACATAAAACAACAATATAAACATAAAGAAAACGGCATCCACAGTTGAATGGATAGGAATGAAAGGCTTGACTGAACAGGAATGTTTTTAGCTGACAATTAAAGACTGCTTGGTGAATAAGCGATCGTAGTTCAGGTGCTTAAAAAAGCTTTCCACAATCTGGGAGCAAAAACAGCAAAAGAAATAACAGCCCCATGTTTTGCACCTAGTCCTGGGGCATACAGTTGTGATGAGCGGGCCCTGACAGTTAAGAGTTCACACAAATATGCTGGAGTGATTTATGTATGTATGGTGAACTCAAGCCAAAGTAATCTACTCAGCGGAGCAGCTTTTGGTCAGAAAAAAAAAAAAAAAGATTACTGTCAGCCACTTCTTCCAGATCGAACCAAGAGCCTTGGCAGACAGGGATGCTGCACTAGCTGTGATCGCTCAGTTATTTCACCCAGCAGGATTAGATGAAAACCTCTA